AGTGTGACACCCCAGTGGTTGAGGGGTCCCCCGGGAAGGATGCCACATCACCTCTAGTCCTTTCTCTGGGCCATGTGAGTGACCAGGCCAGGATCCCCTCCACCTCATGCCTTAATTTACCCATCTACAGATCGGGAGAGAACAGATCCCATCCTCAAATAGTAAACAAATAAAAAACGGGTGTGCAGCCATCAATTTACGGGAGCCTGGTAATAAAACCTCTGCGTTAATGGATGGCTTTATGGCTGCCATCCCCACTGATGTACTTGCGTTGATGACGCCCACCCCGGGACGTGCTGGAGCCTTTCCAATTTGCTCTCGTGGGAGGTGATTTTATAATGCACCATCATTTGCTGCAGAAATAGAATATTTCCACTTAATAAAAGACAAACACCAGCAAATAAACAAGAATAAACACACGGGGGACATCCTAGCTGCTGCAGCGGACCCCGCACGCTGATGTCCTGTGGAAGGGCTGACTGACTCCAGGTGGCTCGTCCAGGAAAGGAGTGGAGGTGGCCTACCAGAGCTACTCTGGCACAAAGATGAAGTGCTCGAAAGTCAGAGCAAGGGAGAAACAAAGGCGAAGCAGCAGGATGAGGTCGGAGGAAGGTCATTCACAGACATGCCTGCCGATAGGTCTTATGCAATTATTAGAGGTGCTGTCCTCTGCCAACGGCCCAGGCTCTCAGCGGTGTGCTGAGCATGGTGGTCGGCTCTCAGCATCCTTCCCTCCATCACTGTAGGGCGCCTCATCGCACACAGGCTGGAAAGTGAAAATCCAGCCCCGCTCAGACTCCCTTGCAGCTGGAGTTCTGGGTCAGAGATGTACTCGTGGGAGGTTTGGACGGTGAAGGTGGCTACCTAGGGCCATGCCTGCTGGCCAGCAAGGTCACGGCGACATGCTGCGGCATCCATCCTCAGCTCTGGAGGCTGGAGGGACAGCGGTGGTAGAGGCAGCAACCGGACCCTGCATCCCACTGGCCGGCCACAGGCTCCATGAACGTTGCCAGGCAGACGCCTGGGTCTCAACATCTGCTGTGTGTCCCTGACCTTGGTAAGTCCAGCGGGGCTCCCGGTCCTGCCCCTCATGACATGGGAGGTAGAGGTTCCCCAGGTGGGAGAGCTCTAAGCCTCTTGGGAGGGATCCTTGGGGGTCCAGCCTGAAGTCCCTCCCCTAGACCCTGGACAATTGAGAGAACACCCAGTGCCCCAGGCTAAATCCTTCTTCTGCTTAAATTATCCAGCATGGAGTCTCGCTCCTGCCCTGAGCTCTGTCAGACAAGGATCAGGGCAAACAGGAACACACACTGAGGTGTAAGATTCTCCTGGCTCACGAGATTGTTCTGTTACTCCGAGAAGCCTGATTTCTGCCCAGTTCCTGCCCAATTCTGAAGTCTGAGGTCAGGGAGGAGGCGGGGCATTGACGTCTGGAGCCCTGCGGGGAAGACTCAGCTACTGACTGACATTCAGGGCAGCCGCTGTGAACCAACACCTCTGCCCGCCCCTTCTTAGGGGAACCCTTGCCAGCCCCCCACCCCCTCCCCGCCTTGACAGCCACTCTACCTTGTGTCACCGCGGATAAACGCAAACACAGTTTTACTTAGGCTGGAGGATTGCGAGTGTTCGGTTTTCTCTAATCGCTTGTGCAATCTTCTCTACTGTTCTGAAGTTGTGTTAAAAAGTAAACGTACTTCCCGATCCATTCTCTACACCTCTCTCAAACCCCCTCCTCTAGGAAGGCTTCCCAGATTGGTCATCCAAGGTGTCTTTTCTTCCCTACTGTTTCTGGAAGGCAGTCCCAGGCTCAGATTAATTTCTCACAGTGCTGGGAAAGAGAGGAGGTTCTTGATGGCGAGCAGAATAACACATAACAGTGTTAGAGGTAAGTGTCCAGGGCCGTGCCTGCAAGCAGGCCCCAGGGACGAGCACAGGGAACCAGGCAGGTCAGTTTGGCGCCAGTGGTCCCCAGAGAACTGGTGTGAGAAGGGACCGCTCGGCTCTCACATCCTTTTGATCCCAGGACCCCAGCAGTTTGCTGAACCTTGAAAGAAAAACCACCGCATCGGGGTCTCACCTGGGAAGGCTGCCCAGGCTCTGAGTAAGGTAGCCTCAGAGCACCCCAGGCTACAATGTCCCGGTGAAGGGGGGAAGTGAAAGCAGAGGGACGGGGTGGTCTGAGGGTGGGAGGACAGAGTGTTTGCTGGGGGAAGGGGCAGGCACCTGGGAGGAAAGCGGAGGGCAGCGTCTGCCTCTGCACCAGTCAGCAAGTCCTTCCCAACGGAATACTGGTGTCCATCCCTGTTGACCCTGACTTTGGCAGGTGACTTGCTTTGGCCTACAGTGTGTGATCCAGGTCAAAGCAGACGTGCCAACTCTACTGGGGTGGTTTTCCCTGCCCCCCTCCCCACCCCGGGGCCTCTGCCCTCCATCATGAGAACAGCCTGTCCCCCGGGGACCTCAGGTTCCAGAACAAGAGAGGCGTGGAGACCTGAACCCTACCATTGGCCAGGAGCCATGCGCAGCCTGTCCCAGCAGCACCTGGAAGAACCCTAGCCAACTCACAGACCTGAGAACCAGCAATAACGCTTGTTGCTGGGCGTCACTGAGGCCTGGGGCTGTGTGTTACTCAGGTGAGCAGATGCCAGCCTAATATCCTGGGTCTGTGGGAATCGAGAGCCGGTGTGGTTCTACCACACCAGCCCGCTTCTTCGAAGTTAGAGAGCTTTGAAAACCATAAAACCCTATGATGTAATGTATGGGGATTAACATAAGAATAAAAAATTAAAAAAAAAAATGAAAACCATAAAACCCTAAAAAAAACAAAACCCAAGGCCCTATTGTCAGTTATCAATTTCCCTCAAATTCCTCATTCCTTTCGTAACTACCACGAAACCATTTTTCCTCCCCTTTTTCTTTCCTTAGAGTCACAGGAAAGAACCAAGGAAAATAACCGAGATTTCAGCTCCATTAATTTTTCAGGGCATCATAAATTAAAGAGCAATTGCAACGCAGTCAATTTCTGCAGGAAAATAAGACTAATTACATGGAAGGCTAAGTAGTGCTATTAATACCCAGAAGCACATGCTGTCCCAAAGGAAGGCGCCGGGAGCAAAGAGGTGGTCCCTGGGGCCGGGGGAACCCGGGGACGCCAGTCAGCGAGGACCAGACCTTGGCAAGGAGGCCAGGTCCTACAGCGAGCCACGGCTCAGACCAGCCAGAAGTCTGCATTTGGAGGCCTTTGACCTAGGTGATCCCTCGTGGGAGAAATCCATCATTCGTCACCAACTGATCCAACCGACTGGCACCCATCCATCTATTCATCCATCACCCTAGCCCCCATCCATCACCCACCCACCCATCCATCCATCCTCACCTCCCCGTCCGTCCATCCAACAAATATCGTCAGCCAGGAACTTGAGAGGCACCCACCCATCCATCCATCCTCACCTCCCCATCCATCCATCCAACAAATATCGTCAGCCAGGAACTTGAGATGATGAAATGCTGTACAAACTAAGAAGAGTCCCTGCCCTCAAGGAGCTTACCCAGAGCATGTGTGCAGGGAGCAGACATAATCAAATAATGTCACAGATATATAAGCACACTGGGATCAGCCCTGGGAAAGAGAGGTGCTGGGATGCAGAGGAGTGTGGAACAGGGGGCCCAAGCAGACCTGGGCGTGCAGAGGAAGACCCTGAAGCAGACAGCTTCTGTTTGCCTCTGGACCATGCCCTGTCTTTCTCCACCCTTCTTCGCCCTTCTCCGCCCTGGGGGCTGGCCTGTGAGGATGGCATCCACTGCCCAACCCCACTTTGGCTGGGTTCCCCGTCCCAGGCCAGGCCTCCTTCTGGGCCCCTTCTGGAGACTCCGGGGGCTGCACCTCCTATTGGGCACGACAGTAGGCTGAAACGTGGCCCCCAGAAGGCAGCCACGTCCCAGTCCCCAAACCTGTGCAAGCGACCCTTATAGGGCAAAGGCAGACAGGATTCAGTGAAGATCTTTGGACGGGAAGACTGTCCTGGATCCCCCGGGGGGTGCAGAGAGCGATTTCTCCGATTTCTCTCATACACACACACACACACTCACACTCTGTGAACACACAGAGCAGAGACACAGAGGAAGGCACAGCCCTTGCCGACTGGAGAGGCTCCTTCACAAGCTGCCCGGATACCAGAAGCTGGAAAAGGCCAGGTCCCCCCTGGAGCCTCCAGAGGGAGCGTGTCCCTTGCCGACGCCTCGATTCTGATCCAGCAAAACTGATTTTGGACTTCTGGTCGCCCAAACTGTGGGAGACCACACTTCTGGAGTGGCCAGCCATGGAGCCTGTGGTCACTGGCTAGAGTGCTACAGGAAACGGATCCTGGCCTCCGGGGCAGCTAGGGCAGCTCTTCGTCCTCCAGCGCTCTCCGCGCCCTGCCGCACCCTCCTCCCCAGCCCTCAGCACCTGCCAGCGCCAGCCCCGGGCTCTCCTACCCCCTGGGCCTGGAAAGAACCCTCCACCACGTTCTCTCGATCACCCTGTGGAGGGGCCCTTGGGTTCCTGTGGGGCCCTGGTGACACAGTTCCCAGAGGAGAGGACACGGACACGGATCTGAAGGACAAGTCACTCCTAGTGAAGTGGAAAAGCAGCCCAGGCTGGCAGAAAGGAAAAGCATCCCATGCTGGCAAGGCCCGGCGTGGGAGCGTGTGTGGAATATTCTGGAAGTGGAAGAAGGCCTTATGGCTGGTGCACCCAAAGGGGAGGCCAAGAGGAAAAGCCCTAATGAACCTCCTGTTTTTCAATCCTGTCTCATGCGCTTATTTGTGCCAAGTGCACCTCTCACCGCTGCCCACTCAGTTCCCACACCGCGCAGCCGATGGTGGAGCCAAGACCACCAGGCCTCGGGGCGAAGGGCTCCTGGGATGCCGTGATGAGCAGCCTGCATTTCCCCCTGACCCCACCCAACAGAGCCACGGCAGACGCCTCAGGCCCAGACACCAGCCCCGGGCCTGCTTACCTTGCTCTCCTTGGTGTAGGCCAGGACCTTGTCCTCCTCCTTGGGGTGGAAAATCAGCGTTTCCACCGAGAAGGGGATGAGCTGCTTCTGGAAGGTGGCCCCCTCGTCTGTGCTGAGGAACAGACTCTGGTCCCGGTCGCTGAGCGAGGAGCTCACCAGGACGATCTGAAACACAAAGCAGGGGAGACATGAGCCTCCACTCAGCACAAGGCTATGGAGGGGGCAGCAAGAACTGCGGGGCCGCCCCCTCCCCACCCCGCCCCTGCCCACTCATGCTAACCAGTCACTCATTCACTCACTCCACAACTATTTCCCCATGCTGGGCACTATCCATACGGCGAGGCCCTGACCACGAGCTGGGTTTTTCTGCTGTGAATGATCCATTCTGTGGGGGCAGCACAAGACAAGTCAGTGCGTCCACCATCGTGTGGCAGTCCGGCGGCCCATGGAGACAAAGCAGGGTGCGGGTGAGGTCGGGGTGGGGGCCGCAAGCACTGGACCAGGTGGGGGGCGACCCAGAACAGTGGGCGCAAGGGCTGGACCTCGGATGTGAGGTGGCCAAGGTGGGGGGGAAAGGACTGGAGAAGTAGCAGCGGGTCCAGTTCTGTGAGGCCTTAGAGGCCACCGTGGGGGTGTAATGGGGTCCCCCAGAAAGACACCATGTCCCCACATCCTCACCCTGGTACCCGTGAAGGTGACCTCACTTAGAAACAGGATGTTCACAGATGGGATCAAGTTAACCATCTCAGGATGAGATCATCCTGGAAAGTGGCAGACAAGGTGCCCACGGAGAGGTCGGGAAACTGAGGCACAGAGTGGAAGCAAACTGCCTGAGGTCACACACCATGCAGATGGAGCCAGGGTCTGGATCTAAGAGGGAGTCCATGCAGGGAGGGGTGCTGGCGGGGTAGGGGGATGGGACCAGCCCGGCCCAAGATGAGCCCAGCTTTCCCTGGGGGGAGGGGGGGAGACTGTGGGGCACTGAGCCCCCTTCTTGTGGACACCCCAGCGCAATGGGCTTCCCACATCTCAACATTCCTCTAGAAGACGATGAAGCACACGGGACATAAATCAATAAGCTGCACAAGCTCCTGTCTTCACAAATGAGAATCTGATGTGCTCTTTCCAGGGGAACCCCGAGGAGTCCTGTGAGCAGGTTAACTGGTCTCCAGCACGGATCCTGCCTGTGCCAGCCAATTCAGGGTCTGGAGGAGAAGGGCAGGGCGCCCCCAGAGCCTGACCCTCGGCAGCCATGCTCCCGGAAAGTAGAGGAGGCTGTGTGGGAGGTGTCCCTCTGGGTGTGGTTTCCACACAGGAGAAGTGGAGGGGCCAAGAATGGCCAGGGAGCCCGCTTCATGTAAACCCTTCCCCGGAAATGTTTCATGGCAAGGGAGCTTACCCACGCATGAAAAGTAGCGAGTGCAAACTTAGGAGCAACTATGTATTTTCTGTGGGTAAAATCCTAAGGAAGCATATGATAATTTTGTCAATGGTTACTGTATAAAAGTAAGCGTGATTGCATCAGCGGGGGTACAGAGAAATAAGAGTGGAGGGATGACTATTCAGCCATAAGATAAAAGGAAACCCCGTCACTTGTGACCACAGGGACAGACCTTGAGGGCGTCATGCCCAGTGAGCGAAGTCAGAGAAAGACAAATACCCCGTGATCGCACTTACAGGTAGAATCTTCCAAACAAAAGCAAAGCCTGAGCTCACAGATACAGAGAACGGGTTGGTGGTGCCGGCGGCGGGTAGGCGAGGCGTGAAGGGGGTCAGAAGGGCCCAAACTGCCCGATACAAAGTGAGCGGGTCACAGGCTGCAGGGTGCCCAGAGTGGTGACACACTGGACTGCATGTCCGAACGCTGCTGAGAGAGAGGATCAAGAACGATCTCATCACGAGAGAGCATCGCTGTAAGGGCGTGTGGTGGCGGAGGGTAACCAGACCTACGGCGGCGGTCATTCCACCATAAATACAAATACCGAATCGTGATGCCGTACACCCGAAACGGGTGACGCTATATGTCAATTACAGCTCAATTTTGACAAAATGAATGGAAGGAAACACGGAGGATGTTAATAGTGCTTGGTTTTAAATGGTGGAGTTAGAAGTCATTTATTTTCTTATTTTAAATAAATGTTGTAGTTTAGAAGAGTTTTAAATTTACAGAAAAGTTGCAAAGATAGTACAGAGTCCCATAACCCCCGGCGCAGATTCCTCGGCTAGGACATCTCCCGTTTGTACAGCTAAGGAGCCAGCATCCACGCGTGGGTATGGTCTGAGCTACGCGCTACGTTCCACGAGCGGCTTTTCCCGGTCCGGGACCCCATCCAGGACCCCACATGACATTCAGGTGTCCCGTCCCCTGAGGCTTCTGGGCTGTGACTTTCTCCAGCGTGCCTTGTTTTTCTTGACCTTGACAGTGTTGAGGAGTTCTGGTCGCGTATTTTGCAGACTGCCTCTGGATTTTGGCTTATCTACGCTTTCCTCGTGGTGACACCGAGGTCATGGGTTTCGGGAAGAAAGGGCACGGAGGTGAGGACCCTCCTCACTGCAGCAGGTCCAGAGAGCACACCATCGAGGGGAGACTCCAGCCCCGGTGCTGGCCTCGCTGGCCGTGTGGTGCCGGTCAGGGCTCCCCACTGGAATGGCATTCCTTTGCTCCCCGCGTCCACGCTGTCCCCACGGAGGACGGCCCCACGCACAGCCCACACCTGCGGTGGGGAGGGCGGCTCCCCTCCTTGAGGGCCTTGGAGCTGCGAGCGTTCTCGTGAACTCTTCTGCATGCGAGACTGGTCTCTTCTCCCGCACTTACTGACTCAATCACTTACATACGTCACTATGAACTCATGCATATTTATGTTAGACTTTGAGTTGTAATTCAAGGCTGTTCTGTTATTTCGTTGCCCAAATGCTCCAGCTCTGGCTAGTGGGGGCTCTTTCTGGCTCCTGCGTTCTCCTTGCCATAACACCCTGCTTCTATTTCTAAATGTTGCTCTGCGCTGCACCTGGCCTCCCCGGATAATCAGGAGGAATGAAACAGATCACCCAGATTTCTCACACATCATACTGGAGACAGCTTGGTCCACTCGACATCCGCCCAAACACACAGGCCAGACTCTGTGCCCCACCCCAGGGCAGCCACCCACATGCCAGGCTCCTCAGGGCCATCCGGCCAAGGAAGCCCAAATGTCACTCAACAAAACGCTTTCTCATGATGATAATTTCTAAATGTTCTTAGGCTGCAACTATTGACTTGTCCACCTCCGCCAGTAGCTTGTGCCCTTGAGTGCAGGATAGCGACTTAACTCCTGTTTTTTCCACCAGCATATAGCCCAGGCTTGACGTGGCGCTGTGGGTTAATCCCGCCCGAGGGATACTGACTGAATGCTTGCGTGCATGAATGAATAAATAAGTCCATCTCAATCTGTGATTCCAAAAGGAATTGCTCGTTCACTCTTCTCCTTTGGGAGGAAAATATTCCTAGGGATATGTAAGAAGCCTGGAGACTGGACGTCATAACAAATCTCATTCACTTCTCTCCATTACTCAGAGCTTCATACATCAGTGAAGACTCATTCATTCATTCATTCTTCCATAGTTACTAAAACCACAGAGTCAAGCAAAGACTTAGGTGTGCACACGGCTTTGTGGGAGGAGAGCCGGGGGGAAAGGGCCAAAAGGAGGGCTTCCTAGAGGAGGTGACCCCCAGATGAGCCTTGAAAAACGGATGGAAATTTGACTGGCAGACCCAGGGGAGGGTGTTTCATTCAGAGAGGACAGCATGACCGGAGGGTGGGGTCCCTGCCCCACCTCTCGCCCCCACCTCAGGCACCATATGTCAGCCATATAGAGCCCTGCTGTGTTTCTCCAGCTCACCGAGACTGTTCACATCTTGACCGCCTTTCCGTGCACGGTTCCCTCTAGCTAGAATGCGCGGTGGGACCAAGACAACCCCAACCTCATCGCAGATAATTCAGAATCAGAGTTTACAATTTCAAAATGATACAAAATCCACATGTGATGAACTTAAAGCAGCTTCTTAAAAATGTTCAGAGCCCCCAATTCTGGGCCGCTTCCACAAAGCTGAATATTTCTCATTTAATTTTGCAGGTGCCTCCAGCATGAATTTATCCTGTTTTTATGTTGGGATGCCCTTCCCCTCTTTATCTGCTTGTCAAATACCTCCTCATCCACTGAGGCTCATTTCAAACGTCACCGCCTTCAGGAAGCCCTCCATGATACGGTCCTCCAACAGAGTTATTCCAGTACGTCCTCCGCCCCTTCCTCTAGCATCTTGTGCATTCATCTGCGCCAGCCCAACACTCTTAGTGTTCTCTTTGGGAGTCCGCCTCCCCCTCCAGGCAAGGCCTGTCTCTTTGTCACGGCCATGCCTCCAGCCCAGAGCACAGGGCCTGGCACCGACTGGGTACCACGTCCCAATAAACAAGTGTTGGTGCTACTCCCACACAGAATTAGGGTTCCGGGTACGGGGTCGCCTGTCCATCCCAGCCCTCCGTGATGGCCAAGGCCCCCCTGCAGTGGCACCACGGTGGAGAAACAAGAAGCCGAGGAAGTCATTCTGGCCGGGGGCCCAGCAATCTGGATCGGGGGCTATTTTAGGCCTCAGAGTGGGACAAGTAAGCCAGGAAAGATGGGGGACGAAAAAGTGCTGACAAGGAAAGGATTATTGGAGCAAAGAAAACAAATCAATTAGCACCGTGCTGAGTGGAGGCTGGCAGATTGTTCTTCCAAATTGGGAACCAGACTATTTCCAACGGTGTATTTTTACTGCGTACTATTCCGGGCCAGCATATGGTATCTGCACTGGGTTCCGGGGGCCCACGAGGCTGGGTGTTTTGAAATCAGAGGCCACGTGTTGGAGAGAAATATGGGACAGGTTCAGAGGACTAGCGGCCAGCCCCTTTGAGCGTGGGTCCCAGGACTGGCCGTGAAGCCTGCGGGGCCCCAAATGCAGGGCTCCTTGCTCAAAAAGAATTAAGAATTTCAACACGGCGCAGGCAACCATTACAGCAAGCACTAGGTGTGGGTCGCACACCCCTGAAGCCCACCCCCATCATCCCAAAGCAACTCAGCTAATAAACTCGGGGACCTAGAGCCCCAGCGTCAGGGAGGCTGCTGGAAGTGTGGTGCCTCCGCCCCAC